CAATTTGTATTAATTAAGGAAATAACTCTGTGAAAGGAAGAGAAGCAAAAGACAATGTATAGATACAAGCCATGCCAGATGCATCAGAATAGGGAATGGATGGGAAGACAATAAACGCCATTGTCATTAACACCGCCCTAGGAACACGTGTCACAGATGAAATAATGAGAGACAGTTGGTGAGCACGGAGAGGCAAGAACAGAGAGCCATTGTGTCACCATCTCCATTTAATTTCAAACTGATTGCTTAAGTAAAGGCTTCTGTTTTAGTTATAGACTATGGAAAATTGAAAAGTTGACATACTGTCAATTTTCTAACTCACCCGGGATCACCAGTCAGAACTAAATAAAAGAGCTTTAAATGAAGAATCCAATTCAATTGTGAACCTTTCCTGCAAAGAGAAGCCTGAAGCCACATGGACCAGTTGATTGGCTCTGGTCCTACAGTGCCTTCCGCTATGGCTGAGGTTCTAGCTGGTGTGGTTGCAGGGGCTGGCTCTTCCTTGCTCACATCAGACTGGGTGACAGATGTCTTGATGCACCGGAGGCTGGCCCAGTGCTGTCTTCTTAGAGGGTGTGTCTGCTGAGGAGGACCAAGGGAGATCGGGGGTGTCTGGCTTCTCCCACTCTGGGGCACAGTGTGAGCTAATATGCAAATATAGGTGAAACATTTGTTTACACAAATGAAGCACTTATTATGTTTATTATTTTAGGGTGCGGAGTTGGATAGGAGAGAACACAGGTCAGAAGGCTTGGGTTTGAGTCCTGCATTTGAATGCTGGTTTTATCTCATAGCATGGTTTGGCTTTTCTGAGTGACATTTTGAACAGTCCTCTTGTTGCTTTTTCTTTCCTACCTTTGAATCAGATATTCCATTTTCTTGTGTAGCCTGAGATCTCTTTGACATTCTAATGACACTAATGCATTCCTTAAGAGGAGAGTAATGTTTACTACAAAAACTGAATAAGATTAAAATGTACAGGATCACAAAGAACACTTATTGTACTGACACACAGTCGTAAATACAGTAAGAAGTAAATGTGTAATACTGGAATACACCTCTTTTGTTAAAAGGTGTTACAAACCATTATCTAGTGGCAGTTTAATAACTACTGTAATTTTGAAGTTATAATGAATGGAAATGATATTGAGATATTTGCAGTAACTATAATGAGATAGGATAATAACTTTGACTTCTGTTAGTGATGAAGTGCAGAAATAACCAATTTTGTTGCATGTGGCTGCCTTCATTTATAATAGAAGAAAATACTAAATTTCACTTGAAGTTTAGTAAAAATAAAAATAAACGTTTCCCCACCTACATCCTGAATTCTTTCGAAGACTGTCAAACCCGTTGCCTTAAAACCTTAACCTTTCCTTCCATGTTGTACATTCTCCAGGACCAAGTCTGTCCCCCTGACACCCAGCTGTGCTGCCCCTCTTGAGCCTGTACCTCCTTGTATGTGCCTCCGACATCTGGGTGCAGGACTAGGGCTCAAGAGGCCTCTTGGGGCCTGCCAGACCCACCCGCACTGGTTCACAGGCCTCCAGCGCAGCCTCTCAAAGGCAGATGCTTTCCCAGCCCAGCTCTTCTCCCTGTGATCCTTGCCCTGTGAGTGACATTAACAAGCACTGTGTGGTAGCCGGGCCCAAGCCTGGCTCCCAGCAGAGCTGGAGCGCACTGTCCCAGGGTTCCTGAACTGGCCTCCTCGGTGCAGTTTGTGAGAGTGTACACTTGGCCAGGGTAGAGCATCACTGTGCCTATTTTTCCCTTTATCTCGGGTGTTTTCTGAATCTCTGCTTACCTGACAAACCTAGTTCCTCCTTATCCTTTCAACATGCTCCTGTGGTCACTCTCATAGTTAGAGTCTCTTGGTGATTTCTGTTTGCCTTCTTGATGTGACATTCCAGAATTCCTGCCTTCTTCAGTGCATGTTCTTCTGGCCTTACCACCTCCCTGAAGGCAATCCCTCCAATGCACATGGCATTTCCCCTTTTGCCTTTGTATACTGGGTGAGTACTTTGCCTGGGGAGTTATCTCCCATGTTGTCTCCAGGTCTTGGTTCTATAGCTGCTTTTCTGGGGAGCCTTCGTGGGGGCCTGTTCACAGCACAGTCCTTATCCTGGCAGGGACCTGTCAGGGCTTTCCATATCATCTGCCCTTGGGAGGACAAAGTCAGTCTCTGGGTGTTCAGAGACATTGGTTCCAGAATGTCGCTCTAATACCAAGAGCTGTGGATACCAAGATCCATGGATACCCAAGTCCCTTATATAAAACATGTAGTGAAGCAAGCCAGGCATGGTGGCACACAACTGTAATCCCAGCACTTGAGAGGCTGAGGCAGAAGGATCACCGTGAGTTTGAGGCCAGCCTAGACTACATAGGGAGTTCAAGGCCAGCCTGAACTACATAGTGAGACCCTGTCTCAAAAAAAAAAAATCGTATTTGCCCATGACCTATACACACCCTACCAAATACTTTAAATTCTTTCTAGATTACTTATAATGTGTAGTACAATGTACTTTATAACAACTATATAATAGCAATTATACAATTAAACAGTAATTGTTTGGGAGTAATGACAAGAAAAATTCTGTACAGATTAAGAACAGACATCTTTTCCTCTAATATTTTCCATTGGAGATTGTCTGACTCTACAGATGCTGTACAGTGGACCATAGGTATATGAGTGAGAGGAATGACTTGGGCTCTAACGCTGGCTCTATGGTTGGCTGCATAATCTTGGCAAGGCACTTACCCTCAGACAGCTTAGTTTTCTTCTATGTAAACCTGGTATAATAACAGTGTGGTGAGGCTTAGATGAATCAAGGCTGTGTAGAACCATTTCTGCCTCATAGTAAGAGCTCAAATAATACTGTCCTTATTCTTTTTAGTTTCATTCTAGTTAAGTGGCTTGGGCTTATTTGAAAGTCACATACTATTATACTTTTATTTTTGCTGGGATTTTATTTAAGAGTTTAGTATGATTTGGGGTCCAGTGTTTAATTATTGTTCATCTTCATTGAAGTTGATGTCAGATTTGATTTTAGTAAATTTAATTTATGTAATAAAAAGGAACTAATTTTGACAGAAAGATAAGAAATCTAAGGAATAGAGACTTTTAACACGGTCCCACCAGTCTCTAGCTGAGTTGGAGATTTAGTTTTTCAATTTCAAAGATTGTGTTGAACTCACAAGAATATTTCTTGTAGTTGTTTTGACAAAAGACAGATTAATATTATGTATCAAAGGATTTCCCTGGAAATGCAAATCCTCATGTATGTTTATAAACCAGATCCACATAAAAGAGATGGTTTTGAATTTAATTACTTTTCATTTTCTTTTCTTTTTTTTGTGGGGGTTATCAGAAATTGAACTCAAGACCTCACACTTGCCAGGCAGGTGCTGTGCTGCTGAGTTATATCCCTAGCCCCTACTTCTCATTTGCATGAACATTTTCATATCTTCTAGAAATATTCCACTTTTGTAGAAGAAACATTTTTAATGAGTTTTAACCACACATTGCTTGTGATCTTAGTGTGTTCTTATAATTTACTCGTCTCTGTTTTTCTTCCAGCGTCAAAGTAGTAATATTTCTCCTGAGGTTTGTTCCAGTATTCCAGCCTTCTCTTAGTTTTACCAGCAGATGGGGTACTGGCTCCTTCCTAAGTCATCCCATGAGGCTACTTTTCTTTTCTCTGTGCTGTGATTGTCACCTCCTGCCTCCACTCCATGCTGTCCCTCCACACCTTCTTCTGAAGTGACCCCTTGATCCCTGACTTGGAGTTGGTAGGGAGGTGGGCAAGGTGGGTGTTACATGGAGATATTCTCTGGGGGTTTCATGGCTAACACTGAGCTAATATGCTAATAGTTTATGTTTCATAGGTTTTCAGTAACTTGAATTTTACCAGAAATGCATGTAAATCTATTTGGGAATAAGTGAATATGTTTTTTTTCTTGACATATTTGGTCCAATGTTGTGGTTTAGAAGAAATAATAAAGTAAGGAAAGCTGAACCTTTATATTAAAACAGATCTTATTTAAATAAAATAGAAAACATAGAAACAAATTGGAATTTAAACTGTTCCTATAGCAGGCAATTAGGGTAAAATTGTTTCTAATGTGAGCATATTATATTAAAAAGCCAAGCATGGATTCTTGCTCAAGCATGAATTCTTATTCTTTCTGAAGCAATATTCTGGAACATTATTGACTATGCTTTAGGATTTAATTGCCTGAAGGATATTTTCAATTTCACTTTTTTAGAGAGACAACTACATTTAAATTCCTTACTTTGAAATCACAGTGCATGATAATATTTTAGGATGATACTTTTTCAAAAGACAACTAAAAGATCCATTTAAAAAGATCTTTTTAAAAAAAATCTTATAAATGTGTCTTAAATATAAATGATGAAATAGAATTGTGATTTTAAAGATTTACAGATATCAAATCAGGATTAAAAGTTAGAAGTTTCTTTCATCAAATTTCCTTTTGAATTTGTATTAATTTTTCAAGTTTAGTGATTAATGAAGTTGTAAGGTTATTTAATGTTATACAAATGCCTGAAAGTAGTGGTAGTATGTGAGTTTGATTCTCAGAAACAATAACTTCCTGTATCTGTCTTATGCAGCATGAAATTACAGTGCTGTATGTTCCATGACCCCTCCCACCCCACTTGGGCAGCAATGCAAAAGTCATTTCATGACCCTAATAGAGGCTGACTGTATTCCTCTTGTTTAAAATGAATCAGTCAGTTTAATACAGTGTCTGAGGGGAGAGAAGCGGGTGAGAGCTCTCTTTGTTTAAGTTTGTGTTATGGTTTTCTTGAGCAGCAAGTTCAAAAATGAAGCCCGCACCCTTAGCTTCTTCTGTGTGCGGGTTTTATTTCTCACTGCAGTCTGTCTATTTAACATATGGGGAGTGGTTTCATGTTCATTACTGAAGCTTATAGGCTGAAGTGCTTTGTGGGCTTGGCTCACTGAAGTTGCCTTTGGGGAGGAGGCCAAAATTGAGCTCGGGAACAGGACGACTTCCCCTGTTTATGTGGATTCTCAGGGTAATCAATCCCCTCCCCTCCCACCTGGACATCATCTGCTCTGGAAAAGAGTCTCACAGTAAGGATTCTTTCCTTACCTCAGTATGAAGCAACTGCTTTCACAGGGGCACCAGGTTAGTAAATAACATTTTGAACTTTCTGTATTGCATTTGTCAGATTTTCTTTCTGTGCTCATGGTAGGCAGGAGAGTGGTTGTCTGCTGTCATGTTCTTTTAGAAGATAACATGAGTTCACTGATCCTGTGGAGGTAGGGGGTTATGGTTTTCTTTATAACGTGTGCATTGTTTAACAATAATGCAAGTGGGAGCCCAAAGGAGAAGACAGACTCCTACATGTTGAATTTACAGTCCCTGAAGTTTATATTTGTTTGTAAGCATTTTCAGTTCCTTTTTGGGATTCCTTTCTTTGTGTCCTCCCATTAAATCCTCTAGATGTAAGTACGATTTTATACCCAGTTGGCTTTATTTTGTTGAACATTAAGCAGCAGTGTGCTGCACCCCAGTTTGCCCTCTTCTGTCTCTCCAACTTTGCTTACTCGTCTGATGGACGGGTGTCCCTGGGGCCTACTCCTTGTCCTTACAATGAATCAGGGTATCAGTTTAATCTCCTGGAAAACTCGGCACTTTTCTCAAATGTCTCATAAAATACCTATGTAACAATTCATTTGGACAGAGTATACAGGTGGGTTAAGCAGAAAAAAATCCATTCCTCAGTATCATTATTTTTATTCATAAGGGACTCCTCAGAATAGATTATCCTACAAGAAAAAAGAGCTGTAAAAATGGAGTGTGGCTTGTAAAACATGAAAGCATGTTAATAGTAACAAAGAAACTATGTCAATAAAATTAAGTATCAAGAGACGGTTTTCCTCAATCACATTAACTTGAAGATTTAGAGAGCAATTTTGCCCTTGTTAATTTACCACCAAGAAAATCACATGAAATTGTTCTGTAAGAGTGATTCAGTTTGATGAAGTCTTACAGTTTGCAGCCCTTTATGAAATACAGCTTCTCATGCTTTCATGTTATGTTAAAGTATGCTTTGGCTAAAGGGAATGTACTAGTGTTTTAAAATATGATAGTATGCATGTGCTTTTGCTATTTTATTTTTTCTTTTTTTTCCCATTGGAAAATAATATAGTGCATCATAAAGGGTATGTTCTTTGATGTTCGCCTCAGTTAAAAAACATCTCTGATATCATATGCCAAACTTTAAGGATCCTATTTCCTATCTGTGCTGATGCTGAAGTTATAAAGTTACGGCTGCATGCCATTTCCGGATTATAGAATTATACTTTATATCCAAAAGAGAGCTATACAGTTATATTATCATCCCTGCCTCTGCAGATTTTTTTAAATAGCAAATCCTTAGGCTATTTTAGTTTTCTAAAAAGTACAAATATTGCTATATCTTTGCTATGCTCTATATAATCTGTATGCTCTTACTGCATGTGTATGTGCTGTTTTGTGATTATTATTATATACTATTTAAATATTAAGGAGGACACTTATTAACCTGATTGTAGCTGCCTGGTGATTTTAAAGAAAAATATTAAGACATGAATTTATGTGTTACGTGATAACACAATTATGTGTTCGTGCTTCATGGGTGTGGGAAAAATCTTTTTTTTTTTTTTCCGGTACCAGGAATCAAACTCATGACCTTGCGCTTGCCAGGCAGGTTCTGTGCCGCTGAGCTAAATCCCCAGCCCTGTGGGAAAAATCTTGAACAGTTCACACCAAGCTCATTTGTGTCCAGTAGCTCTCAGTTTCTGTATTCCTAAGTGCTTCATAGCTGTTTCATCTAGAGATGGTGATGAAGCAGAATACCCTGATAAAATCAGGGTGGCAAAAAATAGAACAAGAGGGAAACTCCCTAAAAAACAGATTTTAGGGATTTTCCAGGAGATGTATGCATTAAAGTAAGTTTTCTGTGAACATGAGGAGAAAAAAAGGCTAAACAGAAGCATGTTTAAGATCCATAAACTTAAGATAAAATGTCCAAGGAAAGCTAATTATTTCCAGTTTTAGGTCTGGAGCACTCGGCGATTCTTGGTAGCATCTTGCTGAACTGGTTTTGCATCATGACATCTCTGTATTTTCGCTCAAATGAAGCAGAGATGGACATTTTGCTTCTTCTATATACCTCTGAGTTTCAAGCAGAACTTTCAGTTGCTTAGCTTTTATCCTCCATGCTTTCTTGTTGGCATTCAAAGTGTTCTGTATGTCGCATGTTTCTCAGATGGTTTATGAACCTAACTCATACCCTAGAGGTGTATGAGGCCAATTCTCTTTTAAAACGAATCTGAGTTTCAAAGTTGGAGACAGATCCTTAGGCAAACAATTACAACTTGAATTGGCCCATACTGGAACCACTGGGAAAATTGAATGGCAGTGAAGGACTCTGAAGAAAGAAATGAGTAACAGGGAGCAGCTGTGACCTTACAGGCAGGTTTTCTGACTGCTGAACCTTGAAAAACTTTCATCTGATCACCTGGATTCAGCCACACCTCAGATGACTCCCATATCCATTGTCTTGGCGTTATTGTAAGTCGGATGTAGTTTGGAGGCGTGGGCTCTTGGTGGTCTTGCTAGCTTCATTCAGTGATTACAACAATCCTACCTTTTCTGTACCTGGCTCCATTATCCTTTTCTTTAAATCTTCTCACTCAAGGTCTTATGCTTATGTGTCAGAAAGTGGCGGGATAGTATGAGGTCATCCATCCTGGAAGTGCACTGTTTTAGAATTGACGAAAATATTAACTTCCCAGAAGAATTGCAGAGGCTGAGGTCCCATTACACCCCTGGAGCTCAACTAACTACACCCTCCTGAGCTCCTTGTTTCATTCTAAAGAACCCAGTTTAAATATGATCAGGCAGGGCTGGGAGTGGAAACAATGGTCATAGCAGGAGTAGTAATGTATTGGTCATAATAGTAATAGCAAGCACAATAAATGTAATGCACTTGAATCATCCCAGTACCATCACTCCTCAGTTTTCCATTTCATGGAATAATTGTCTTCCACAAAACTGGTCTCTGGTACCTGAAAGGTTGGAGACCACTGCCTTAAATAATCTGGGTCAGTGATTTATTTAGAAGATGAATTTTCTGGTGGTTTATGTTTTCTAAATATACCTTTTGGCATATTAATATTTTTAAAAACAATTACTTTATATTTAGAAAAAATAAAAGAAACAACTTTACAGAGAAAAAGACACAAGAATAAGATTTAATAAACTAACAAAGCTTATCTATCTATTTGAGATAGTAGAGCTAAGAATGTTTTAAATTTCCTTGATTTTTTTTAAAAAAGATTTCCTTTAATAAGAATGTCTTATCTTTATAATAAAAGTTAGAATAGATTAAGACTGATAGGTTAGAGTTAAGACATGACCAATCTATAAAGGACAGAATAATTTTACTTTGGAGAATAATTATTTTGCTTTACTTATAAGTATCATATGAGAAAATTGTGTTTTAATTTTTCCACATCAGGCTTAACATTTAGGCACATGTTTTAGCTGATCAGTTAGAAGGTGGACAGTTGGTTTTATAAGAGATATGGTGAGCAGCTCACTTAAATACTTGGAATATCTATCCAGGAAAGACACTTGGGTGGATTTTTAATGTGTGTAGATGTCTTATTTACACCTGTTGGGTCTAAAAGGGGTTGATGTGGAAAAAGAACAAGTGAGCATACTAAGACTATCTGTAGATGATTTGAGTGCAGTAATGAAGAAACTTTAAAATAATTGACTTCCTTCTCTCCACCCCAGTTTTATAGATGAAATCAGTGATGCCCAGAGTGACCGAGTCCCCATGACCACAGGTTCTAATAGATTTTAGTAGAGCCTTTTAAGGGTCCTTGGATCCCTCTACTGCTACTGTTTATAATATTCCCTTCTGCCCATTTAACACATCTTAGTAACAGTGAATGAAATTAGGTTTCCTTTTGAGCCCAGGTTGGTGAAAACCATAAGATGACACCATTTACCACTTACCTATTGGTACTTGAGAAGAGGGCAGATGGCCAATTACTTCTTCCAAGGAAAATCTGCCCATTTCACAGCCATAGTCCTTATTCTCACTATTGTTTCAAGATTTTGTTCTTGGGTACGGGCTCATCTAATGTACATCTGGCTTCCTCGTTTATTCTGGAAGACAGCAGTACGTGGCGTGACTAGAAAACACTTGATACTGAACCTTGGGAACTGTCTTTTAACGACTTTGTTGACCTTGTACAACTTGGAGTTTATAAAGTTATCCCCTTTAGTTATGTGATTCAGTAGTGTTTCATATATTTATAGAGTTGTATGATCACTGCCATAATCCATATTTTAAATGTTTTCATCATTCTAGAAAGAACTTCCTTTCTCCTTGCTTTTGTTTTTCCTAACCCTAGGCAACCATTGTTCCACTTTCTGCTTGTCTAGATCTCCCCATTCTGCACGGTTCATATGAATAGAATCTATAAATGAGAATCCTGGGAATTTAAATTTATGGCCTGGTTACTATGTCAGCCACTTCTCAATAGTGCCCTAAAGGGTGACATTAAGACTAAATAAACCAGTACTGCCATCTGTTTTGTTGGTTGTCTTACTTTGTCTTCTAGCATTTCTAATTTTTTACCTATTCAAAATATTTAAAAGTATAAAATGAGATGATTGATTATAAGCTATAATGCAAAATTTTTAGGTAGACTCTTGCTTATCAGTTGTGACCTTGAGCAAATTATTTGACTTTTTTGAGGCCCAATTTTATTATCTTATGAAATGGAGGTGATAATAGTAGCACTTATTTTAGAGACTTCTTGTCAGAATTAAATAAAATAATATATAAAAGGCCTACTACAATGCCTGATGCATTGTAAATGCTAAATGAATATTAGTTATTATTATTATTGAAAAATAAACAAATTTTATTTTATTTCATTTTTATGAGTTTATGTTCTAAGCATTTGAGGTGGCTTGCAAAAATATTTGTGTACTATTATACACACACATATGCACACAAAGGAATAAATCATTAAAACCAGGGAACAGGGATGATAGTGTTCATAGAAAGAGAATATCAGAGGAAATAATAAATAGTAGTAATCATGGCTAACACTTCC